TGAGTTGTGGAGAACTGCTTCCCTTTCAATTTCATTAAAAAGTTTGAAGAATATTGCCCTTAAATCTTCTCTGAATTTTTTGTAGAATTCAGCTATGAATCTACCAGAACCTGGGCTTTTCTTTGTTGGTAAGTTTTTAATTATGTTTTCAATTTCATTAACTGATACTAGGCTATTCAGAATTTTTATATCCTTGGTTTGGCTTTGATAAATCATATGTTGCTAAAAAATCTCCATTTTTTTTCTATGAGTAAAGATTTTCCAAGTAAGTATTTAGGATATGAATTTCCACAGGATCTGTAGTTATATCACCCTTTTCATTCATCACTCCATGAATTTGAGTTCTTCTTTCCTTTTTTCAATAAGATTAGCTAGGACTTTATCAATTTTGTTTACTCTCTTTTTTTTTGTCTTTTTCGTTTTTATTGGTACCAGGGATCGAACTCAGGACTGCCTGCTTGCAAGGCAGGCACTTATGCCGCTGAGCTAAATCTCCAGCCCCAATTTTGTTTATTCTTTCAAAGAACCAACTCTTTGATTCATTAATTCTTTGTATTGTTTTCTTAGTCTCAATTGCATTAATTTCTGCTCTGATTTTTATAATTTCCTCCTTCTCTGGACTTTGGGCTTGATTTGCTTTTCTTTTTCTAGAAGCTGGAGTTGCACATTAGGTTTATTTGTGCTTGTTCTGTTTTTCTGATGTAAGAATTCACTGCTATAAATTTCCCTCTGACGACTGCTTTCATTGCATCCCACAACTTCTGATATGTTGTATTTGCACTTTTATTTGATTGTAGATACTATTTAATTTCTTCTGTATCCCATTGGTTGTTCAGGATGGTGTTATTTAATTTTCATGTGTTTATGGTTTTTTTGTTCTGTTTTGTTTGCTAGTGGGGATCAAACTCATGACCTTGTGCTTTCTAGGCAGGTGCTTATACCACTGAGCTAAATCCCTGGCCCAATTTATGGGGTTTTGGGGTTTCTTCTGCCATTGATTTCCAAGTTTGCACTATTGCCAGGTAATATTCTTGGGATAATATCAGTGTCTTTGCATTTACTTGAGCACGTTCTATGGGCTAGTATGTGACCTATTTTAGAGAACATCCCACGTGCGGTGAGAAGAATGTGTGTTCTGATGTTGGGCAGAATGCTCTGTAAATGTCTGAGTCCATTTATCCAATTTGATTCAGCTCTGTCATTTCTTTGCTGACTTTTTTGTCTAGTTGATCTACCTTTTGTGACATTGGGGTATTAAGGTTCCCCATTACAGGTGTGTTGTTATTTATTTGATTTTTTAGGTCTGTTAATATTTGTCTTATATACTTGAGTGCTTCCATATTTAGGACATGTATATTTATAATTGTTGTCTCTTTCTCTTGAATTTTCCCCTAACAGGTAGGTAGTATCCTTCGTTTTCCCCTTTGATCATTTTGATTTGAAATTCACATTGTTTGCAAACAGAACGGTACCCCTCCTTTTTTTCTAGGTTCCTGTTGCATAGAGTATTGTTTTCTGCCCTTTGACTTTCAATCTGTGAATTTCTTGTTGACTTAAATGTGTGTTTTATATGCAGAATTTTGTTGGATCTTTGTTCTTGAATCCATTCTGTTTGTTTTGATTGGTGAATTGAGGTCATTTACATTGATGGTTATAATTGGTATGTATTAGTTTATCTTTTTCATGTTATTTTCCTATTCTTGGTTTCCTGTTTTCCCACTCTGTTTCATTGTTTCCCTATCTTGTAGTTTTTTTCTCAAGCCGTTGTTGGAATTGTGATAGTTTCAATCTCTCTATAAAATGTCTTTCAGCTCTTTGTAGGGTTGGCTTGGTGGTTATGAATTTTTTCAGTTGTTCTTTGTCATGGTAGTATTTTATTTCTCCATTAAATTTAAAGGCAGGGACTAGGGATATAGCTCAGTGGCACAAGTGCCTGTCTGTGAAGCACAAAGTCTGAGTTTGAATGCCAGTAACTGCCCCTCCCCGGCCATCGTTTCTCAGCCTTTTGGCTCAGATCAAGTATAATATCTGTTTTTATCCTTTTCCTTTTGAAAGATAGTTTTGCAGGGTACATCAATCTGAGTCACAAGTTGTTTTCTTTCAGGACCTGAAACACTTCATTCCAATCTCTTCTTGACTTGAAGGTTTGTGTTGAGGATTCTGTTGGGTTTCTAATGTGCTTTCCTTTTTAGGTGATCTGTTTGTTTTCTCTAATAGCCTTTAATATTCTGTTTTTGTGCTGAATTTCTGGTATTTTATTATAATCAGTGTAGATTTATTTATTTTGGTCATGGCTGTTTGGAGTTCTATATACCTGTCTTATTTGTATGTTTAGATTCTCTTTCTATGCTTGGGAAATTGTCCACTATCTCTTTAAGTACTTTTTAATGTCATTTGTGTTCACTATTGCTTTTTCATTGACACCTTCCAGTCTTACATTGTTTCTATTTGCATCATCTTGGAGCTGTTGTATTGTTATTTTTAAGAGATCTTTCCTTTTGTAAAGATCACTTGTTGTGATCCTGTCTTCAAGATCTGAAAGTCTATCTTCAGTTTTGTTCAAGTGGTTTTGCCAGTTTTCAATGCAATGTTTAATTTTTTGGGTAACTGTTTGAATCTGTTTTATGCATTGTTTCTTACATTGTGAATTTAAGATTTTCATCATTTTACTATGCTCTCTTGTATTTTTTAATCTATGTCATCCTAGCTGTGCTGAGCAATTCCTTAATTGTGGTTGTCTTTTTTTCTTTTTTTTTACCTGAGAGATTATTTCAGGTCTGATTTCCTTTGTGGCCTCATTAACTTTTTTCTTTACTTCCCTTGCTATCTCTTCTGAGATTTCAGATGTGTGGCTTCCAGTTTCCTTTTTGTTGATGTCTCCTGTACTTGTTCTGGGTGTGCTGGAGGTCTGAGATAGATTGCATTTTGCTATTTTCTATTTCATAAAAAAAAATTTTTTTGTGATGATCCTTGTGAGTTTTTTTTAGTTGGAAGATACATCACTCTTATAAAGTCTACTCTTCAATGATGTCATCTGTGTATAGGAGATTCTTACTTTATGCCTATTGTGGCATCCTGCCTTCCCTATTAATTAATAGTGAGATTTTGGTATGTGCTTGGCTCTGTCCTCAGTCTTTTGGTATTTTTCTGTGGTAAGGTTATTACTCCAGAGCGTCCCAGTATTGTTACAGAAGTAAGAACACTGATTAAAACAGACATTATATCCTAGCTAAATAGTACAATTAGCAATAACTGTAGCATCAAACACAATTTAGAAAGAGACAAACTTTGGTAACTAATGACTTTGTATGATGTATACTATAGGAGCAGAGGCTACCATTATATAACAGAACTCTTGTACATTAGAAGGTCATATGGTAAGTGTTTCCCTTTGACAGAGTGGTTTTACCCAATTTGTATTTTGGTCTTTCAGTCTCACTGCTTTTGCCTGTCTATGGTGTGTGCCTTAGTCAGGGTCCTATTGTGTGACCAACATTCCCCTAGTCACCAGGTTTGCAGTGTGGGGAGGGGCCGTTTGCCTGAATTCCTCCTGTAGGGCCCGTTGGTGAGTCCTGGATTCCTTCCGAGATGCTTTGGACTTTTCCAGGCCACCCGTCCAGTCTGTCCATCCTGCGCACCCCGGCTGGGGCCTTACTGTGTGACTGGTGATTTTGCAGGCCTACCCAGGCCCTCTGGATGGAGGGAGGGGTCACTGGTGCCCTCGCAGGCCCACCAGCGTCCAAAGGATGGAGGAAGGGTCTGTGTTACTATACTTATTGAGTTGCCCTTATTGGTTTAAGTCATAGGGATGTTTGTCCTACACAAGATTCCAGTTTTTCTGGAGCTTATATGTACAGAAAACAGTTTCTAAATAAGTAATCAAGTAAGAATTTCGGACAGTAAGAGCACTGTAGAAGAGAAAAGTAATACTACAGAGAATAAGTTGGAGGGTGAGGTGGAAGCCTGAAGGGGCCCATCAGCAGATGAATGGATAAAGGAGTTACGACATTTTAATACAATGGAGTACTACTCTGCCATAAAGAAGGACACACTTGAGACATTTCTAGGTAAATGAATAAATACTCTTTAAGTGAAATAAGTTAGACACACCTGTTTAAATACTGCATTGTTTCTCTGGTGTGAGAAATTGAAAGGGTAAGTAAGGTACAAAATGTATAACAGATGCCAGGAGATAGGGAGAAAATATCCAAATGGGAAGGGGATCAAGAGAATGGGAAGACAAAAGAAAGGAAGGGCAAAAAAAGAATAGAAGAAAAAAGTGGAAACAAATCTTTTGTAAATAAGGAGGGGAAGAGGGTTGAAAAGAGCAGAAGAGATTGGGGGAAAAAGAAGAATCCAGATATATTATCTACAGGTACAAATTATGTACAACTAAAATAACAATTAAACAAATACTACATGATATCACTTATATTTGAAGTCTAAAAAATGTTGATCTCAGTTGGGTGTGCTGGTAACCATCTGAATTGTAACACTGTGGGAGGCTGAGGCAGAAGGATCACAAGTTTGAACTTGGTGCCGGCAACGTAGTAACTTAAGGAGAGCTTGTCTTGAAGAAAAAGTTGATCTTATAGAAGCTGACTAGACTGGTGGTTATTATCCAGAACTGACTGGGTTCCCTACCTGGGTGAGTACACAGCAAAGGATTAAAAACAATGAACCGAAGTAGTGTGGTATTTGGGGGTTCAGGAAGATCAGAGCTCTTGTGGCTAGGACAGAAACTTCTCCAAGTTGCCCACTATTTACTCGGGCGTACAACCTTGGCAGAGGGCGTGCAGTGCACAGAACAGCTGAGAGGTAAGAAGCTGTGAAAGTGAGCGAGGCCTTGTGAAGATGGCATGAAGACATTCCAAGCAGTAAATCTTTACTTAATGAGAGATACGTGCTTAAGGAGAGGTTGGCAGTGTTGCCCTTGAAAATCTGGGGGAGAGCTCGTGCCCGCAGCTGTGGTGCATCTGACCTTCAGAGATGTTACAGTCATGGGCCACTACAGAGTTCTGTTTTCTGTTTGTGGAGCAGCAGGTTGGATCCTGGGACAGACGGTAAGTTAATGCAGAAAGCCAGCTGATGAATTTTAAAGCCTGCCCAGTGCCACCTCAGTGTGGTCTCCGGCGGGTTACCAGAGGCCTGCAAAAGTGGGGTGGTGGGGCTGGGGATTTAACTCAGCGGCATAAGCACCTGCCTTGCAAGCAGGTGGTCGTGAGTTCGATCCCCGGTACCGATAAAAAAGATTTTAAAAAAAGATAAAAAAGATTTAAAAAAAAAAGAGTGGGGTGGTGTGGGGAATTAAGAAAGGTTATCAGTGACAGCTTGTGGTTTGACGGGAGCAGAAAGTTCTGGCATGCTATTGTTCAGTAGATGTCTATAAAAATAGATAATGGACAGTCTAAAAAGCTAGAAGAGAAAATTTTGAAAATTTTATCCTAAGAAAATAATGTTTGAGATGACACATTTAACCTGATTTTAAAACTATACAGTGTGTATATCTTAAGTTACAGGCACAGTTTTTATGTATTAAAAATGAAAGAGTTAAGATACAAGATTTATATCTTGTATCTTAGTAGCCACTCAGTAAATGGTAGTGTATGTGTGTGTGTGAGCATTGGCTTCATTTGTTGAGTAACAAACACTTGGAATTCCTAATATCATTTTATAATGTATGTTTTTTCTTTTGGATTTTCAGTTAACTTCGGTGGTGGTTGAGATTGACAGTTAAATTCCTTGTGTATAGCCATTTAAAGTGAAAATACTCAGTTTCTAGAACAGTTTGGCAAGGAGTGGGTATCAAAAAAGGGTACCTGTTAAAAGTAATATCCAGTGATAAAAAGGTTTTGTGCATTTATTATAAAATAATTTGTTGGTTTATCTTTACAGAAGTGTTATGAACAGAAGCAATATAAAAATGGCCTCAAGTTTTGCATTTGATTCTTTCAAACCCCAAATTTGCTGAACATGGAGGTAATGTCTTAACTTTGGGGAAATCTAGCAGCTAGGATTCTGAACAAGGAAAGAATGCAGTACTTTTCCAGATTCCAGGAGCTGCAGGTCCCTGTTGAGTCCTTAAAAGTTCAGCATTTTTAGTTATATTTCATATGAGTTTTATTCTAGACTACTATGATTTTATGGTATACGTAGGTGTCATTATTTTTAGACGACAAGTAGTTTATCTATTGGGAGAAAATTGGTTGAGGTAATGTTGGTTTCCTGTATATAAAATTAGGATAGTATTTTCGCTGTAAAAGTAGTATAAAGATAAAATCACATGGATTTTGTTCTTTGGTAGATAAGCCTTTCATATTTCTGATGATATTTATGTATAAATATAGTACTGCTGATCTACCTTTAGATTTTCTTTTCTTTTTTCTTTTTGGTACTGAGAATTGAACTCATGATCTCCTGCTTGCCAAGCAGATTTTATGTTTTGAATTTTTTTTTATCATTAGTGTTAATACAATCTTATGTTTGTATAAGCATTGGAACAGTAAAAGTTTTTCAGATTTCAAATAAAATTGCTCAGAGAATAAGTTGAATTTTTCATGTGTAAATAGAGGTTAAATTATTTTTCAGAGACTTTGGCTATGAAAGGTTTGACATTGAACTGTTTAGGAAAAAAAGCAGCATATGAATTTGTTCGTAAAGGCCTTCATAATGATGTCAAGAGTCATGTCTGTATCATTTTGCAATAGCTACATAGTTTAATTTTATTTAGTATTTTTTGAATTCAACTTTGAAAACTCTGCTATGAAAATTTTCAAATGTACATAGAATTTAATGAAGTCAGTAATTATCAACATTTTGTAAAACGTTTCATTTTTGTCTTGTTAGAGTATTTTAAAGAAAATTTGTGCACAGTATGTATAAATGTGTGTACTAGAAAGAATTAAGCTTAGTGTTAGAGGATAGTTACTTTGATAATTATTTGTGGCTTGAAACTATTATTTTGTTAGATGTGTGAACTGACATAGTTCCCTATTATTCCAAATAATGATATTTAGTTACTTATTTACATGGAAAATTTTGTATCCTTTAAACTTCTTTTAGAAATTTTAAAAGAAAATTTAAATAAGTTTGGTTAGAGATGTAGCTTAGTGATTGAGTGTTTAGCATATGTGATTCTCCAGCATCACAAACAAAAAATAACAATAAAATAATGATAATAATAATAAACAATAAAACACCAGGTTTTACTTAGTATTAAGAAAGACATTATACTGGGTTTTATTTTGGTTTATGTTATGTTAGCTGCTACTTTACTGAATTTTTGTGTATGTTCTTTGGCTTATTTTAATATGAAACAGAATACTTTGTAAGGTTGGATCCTTGAAATTGGTTTTTCTTTTGCTCATTTATATATTTATTCACAATTTCTACATAGTACCCTTGTATTTTAGTTTTTCATTTAATTCACTTAGCAGTTGAATAGTAATGGACATGAAAAGTCTCAGTAATGTTTTTCCATATTAAGCTTAAGGTACTCTTAAAATATTAAACATCTTTTTTCTGTGCCATTGCTTACCCCAGAATGAAGAGCGGGGGCATGTAAGTATGATAGTTTTGAGTTTTGTGCTTTTGTTTTTGGCTTAATATATGCCAAGACTTTAATTGCTAAAAAATAAAACTTAAATTTTGTAGTCTTCAGCATGACTAGGGAATTAAATGATGATTACATTATTTTAGAATTGATCAATTGCAAATTTGTTTTAAAAGCTAATTCCATTTTTTGTATAAGTAAATGTAGTTTCTAGAAAAAAATGAGGGAAGAGAGGGTAGAAAATGTAAAGAAATTTTGCCAAGAATTTTTTAAAGTTATGTAAACTATTACATAAAATTTCAATGCATAAAAAAGCAGAAAGAATTGAATAGTGAACCCTATGTGCTCATCGCCTCACTGCAACAATTTAATATTTGTTGAATCAAAGCTAATCTGGTTCCTGCTTTAGCTGTTCCTCACTGTCCCATTCCATCTGACCCCAAATCATTCTGAAATAAAATACCATTTTCTTAAGGTTTTGCATGAGAGATACAGCATAGTATATTCTAGTGTCTATGAGTGTCTTTATTTCTTTAACTTCATAAGTTGGCATGTATATGGGCTCCTACAGCGTTCTGATAAAAAACATGATGAAGCTATTAAGTGCTATTAGAAATGCCCTCAAATTAGATAAAGATAATCTGCAAGTCTTGAGGGATCTCTCTGTTGCAGATCCAAATGAGAGATCTTGAAGGTTACTGTGTAAGTACTCAGTTTTAAATGAAAAAATTTTTTTAAATTTTTTCTTTGAGACAGAATCTTACTTTGGAGTCTCTGTTGGTCTTGACCTCACTGTATAGTGTAGGTGGGCCTCAAACTTGGAGCAGTCCTCTGGCCTCAGCCTCCAGAGCAATGCGATTACAGGCGTGTATCATTCATCCATGCCAAGGATGAATTTTGTTTTTTAAACGGAAGGTTAAATTTAAAGTCATGTGAATTTAGAATAAGGTGAACAGCAGCCAAGATCATATCGATTTGATTCAGAAGAATCTATAGCAGAAAGGGAAATTGCTTAGCACTTTCCAAGAATATTAATTCCAAAACTTCATATTTGAGTATTAAATAGAAATTCATTGTATTCTTGTGTAATTTTTAAAAAACTACAATGTCTTTATATCCTAGGTGCAAATGCTGTGCTACAGTCCTTGTGGGTTTGACATTCAGTATTTTTGGTGGGGTTTTGATTTGTTTTGTTTTGTTATTTGAGACAGGGTCTCTATGTAGTTCAGATTAGCTTTGAACTTACTATAACACAAGTTAGCCTGGAACTCTGTACACTTTCCAAGTGCTGGGATTACAAGTGTGTGCTTGGCTTTGACATTCAGTTTCTATAGGTAAAATATAAATAGAAATATCAGTAGCCTCCTTTCCACATAATGGGGATTGAACAGAGTGTACATTGCTAGGTAAGCAGTATTTCACTGAGTTATCACGTCTCTGTCCACAGTTAGCTTTCTTTGTGGTAGGTTAGGAAATCTAAAATAATGTGAGGCCGATTGCCATGGTCAGTCTTTTTGCAGTTTAGACGTCTTCAGAATTGTCTTCAACTCTCTGTTGGGCATCTCCATGTACTTACTATTGTTAGTGTCCTAGAATCAGCATGTCCAGAATTGAATTTTCTCTTACGTGAAGGAGCTACTGCCTCTTAACAGATCTGATCAAATAAATTCTTCATTTCTACTTTTGCCCTTCTCCTGTCATATAAGTGTTTAAACTCACTATCAAAATTTTTCAGAAGTTTCAAGAGCCCAGGTGAACTTTATAATGGCACTATTTTTCAAGGAGCATGTGTGTATTTCTTCAGCTGTGCATAGCCTGGTTGTGGGAGGAGTTAAAATCAATTACTACTTTTATGAATGAAGCATAGAAATTACACATTTTTGGTATTCTGATGGTGATTAAACTGGACTGAACTAAATTAGAGAGCTGGTGGTGAAAGCTGGTGGGAACTAGAGGTACTGATGAGGTCAGAGAATACAAGTAGGCATAAAGGAAAATAAAAGTAAGACTATCACCAAGTGAGAGTGTCGGTAGCATAATAGCTGTGGTTGGCATGTCATTTCCCAGAGTAAGGAAGAGATAGAATGATTCAGCTTAGTGTCATATGCTAAAAAGAACCAGATGCACATGAGGGTACAGGTTGTCATTTTACCAAAGTTTTCTTTTTAAAAAGGAATGGGAAATTATCCCTGTGGCACATAGCATGTCTGGACAACAGAATCATGGAAACTGAACACTATTTTACAGTTTATATTTGTCATGATACCTGGTTCCTTCAAGAAGTATCACTTGCTTAAGACTTGGAGAAAGAAATGAGCTCTGAGGCATGGGGAATCTCTTTGGGGTCTTTTGGGGAGGCTGGTTTTTCTGCTCGGGCAGATACTTTGATCTTTTATTCCATGAATATGTGAATACATGTGATTTGACCCTAATATTAGCGGAGTTGAGGTGTCCTAAGGGACTGTGGAGGTGTTTCTGCTAGAGGAGTCAAGTCAGTGACTGTTTTCCACGGCTGTGTTCATCTTGAGGTCAGTTATGACCATGTGAATAGATGGAAGTTCTTATCATTTTTAAATGACTCTAGTATGATAAGAAAATATTGTGGGATTTTCTTGGAAAAATGTTTAAATTTATCAGAAGAAATTTTAAGGTAATTTTGTAAGGAAACCCATAAGCATGACCCCCAAAGTTAAGGTTTCATTGACAGCACCATGGTATCACAGAGTATTAATTATAGCTATAAAGAAACCCAAGTAATTTTGTTAAGAAACAAGAAAACTTTTTATGTACTATTCTGGAATTGATATTTATTGCCTTCACTTAAAAATGTTAAACACCTTAGGTTGTTTTCTTAAAAATAAAGGATTTTTTTTTAAAGGAGACAAGATACCAACTTCTGCAGTTGCATCCAACAGCATGCTTCCTGGATTGGATGTGCCATTGCATACCATTTGTGAAAGATTATGATATGGCACTAAAACTATTGGAAGAATTTAGACAAACTCAGCGAGTGAGAACTTCATTTTAATATTTCTTACCTTTACAGACTAAAATAGTCGATTTCTAAATTCACTCCACTCCCAAATTTGAATTAATCTTTGAAACCTATGGAAAAACTAGAAACTTTTTTTTTATGAGATAATGGAAGTACTTAAAATGTAGAATTCTTAGTACAAAATAAATAATATAATAATTTGTGTACTATACTTTCAACAACATTCAAATAGGTAAAAAAAGAAAATATGTGAAAATAAAAATAGTTTTAGTGTTGTAGAATTGTTTCTCTGTTGTACGTATGTTATTTTATGTAGCTGAAGATTACCCCAGTATTAGAATGCCTGCTTAGAATGCACAAGAGACAAGCTAAGTGTGGTGACCCTCACCCATAATCTCAGCACTTGGGAGGCTGAGGCTGAGGATCATTGCAAGTTTGATACCAGCCTGGGCTGCAAAGTGAGCTTAAGGCCTGACTACATAGAGGACCCCATCTCAAAAAGAGCCAAAAAACAAAACAAACAAACAAACAAAAAACCCCCAAAATACACAAGACATAGTACTAGGTTTGATTTCTAGCACTACTAAAACAAAACAATGTATATATGTAAAATTTTTTATGTTACTATATTTTAATATATTTATATTCCAAATAGAAAAATTGAACATATACTTGTGTATTGTCAAAGTAAATATTGACATTTTACATAATTGGTCTAGATTTTATTATTAAAAACAATGAAATGTTGTAGAAATAGCTGAAGTCCTCCCATGTGCCTCTCCAGAGGTAACTACTATTCTGAAATCGGTACAGATCAGTGGTGATCATCACTTAGGGCATGTGTACTGCAGCTGGCTGTTCATTATTATTAAAAGCTCTGAAAGTTTCTCCCTTGCTGTATAGATCATCCTTACATTATGCATAAATTGATAAAACATTACACTGATTTTAAGCGTATCATATTTAAAAAACTACATGAATAAGCTGGGCATGGTGGCATAGCCACTAATCCCAGTACTCTGGAAGCTAAACGCAGGAGTATAACTGAGGGTTCAAGGCCACCCTAAACGACATAGCAAAATCCTGTCTTTAAAAAAAAAAACCCAAAACAAACCCAAAAATGTGATTAATATGCTTTTTTCATTCAATAGTTTTTGAAATGTGGTCATGTTAATATGTGGTGGACTAGTTTATCCATGTTAAACTAGTGTTTGCTGTTCCATTATATAATAAATAAACATTTTTTTCTACTTTTTCTCTGTTAAAAATAGTACTTTGGTAAATATCTTTTTCTGTAGTTTTGCCTTATTTATGAGTTTGTCTTCAGTGTAAATCCAATACTGAAATTATAGAGCTCTGTGTTTATCTTCAACTTTGCTATGTACATTTTGTATGATCTTTGGGAAGGAGCTTTACTGATTTAATGTTTACTTAGCAGGGTTTCATAGTTTTTCTTTGTATCTTTGCTAATGTGGTATCGGCTTTCTTAGTTTTTACCAATTTTGTGGAAATGAAGTAACATGTCATTTTTCTTTTAACTGATGTTTCCTTGAGTATTAATTGGGTTAAATTAATTAGATTTATAATTGGTCTATAGTTCTGATACTTTCTAAGTCTGATTTTGGTATTAGGGTAATACTGTCCTCACTGAGTAAGTTATGAAGTGAAACTTTCTGTTCTGAGATTTTGTGAAGGGCTTGTAATCACTCACTGGAATTCACCTGTGTTACCGTCTGGTCCTGGCCTTTTCTTTGTAGGAAGTTTATCGATTACTATTGATTCTCTACTTGTAATAGGTCTATTCACAGTTTTTATTTCTACTTGAGTCAGTTTTGCTAGTTTGTGTTTTTCTAGGAATTCATTTTGTTTGCGTTTTTAAATTTGTTGTCAGATCCTCCCCCTCCTCCTCCCTCTACCTCTTCTTGGCCAGTTCTGTATCTTTATTTGTTAAATACTGTAATCTTCTGTGCTGTTAACCACTGTAGCTGCTTGTGGGTTTCTTTCTTAAGTCTTTGTGAGTGGCTCTCCTGAGAGAATAATTTAATTAAAGATCTGTAATTTATGCTTTATGTCATTACTCCGATAATATAATTTGGTTGCTTTCTTACAGGTTCCTCTCAACAAAGTAGACTATGAATATGGTGAGGTAATACTGTATCAGAATCAAGTGATGAGAGAGGCAGATCTATTTCAGGAATCTTTGAAATATATAGAAACATAGGAGAAGCAAATATGTGATAAACTTCCAGTGGAAGAAATGAAGGGTAAGTTAACATACTTTTTCCTTTTTTAATGGCCTCAAGGGAAAGAACAAAAATTATATATTTTATTTATTCATAACACTTAGGTAATACTTGCCATGTACTAGGTGATTGGCTGAGCACTTTATTATTGAACAATTGCTAATTAAACTTTATAACAACCTTATAATGTGATTGTTATACACATTTGAAAAATGAAGGAGACTTCAGTTTTGAGAAGGGGTCTTGAATTTTGTTTTATAGTACGGCAGTTGCTTAAAATGCCTTATTTCATTTAATTTTTTAGCGCCTTTACGATGGGTACTATTTATTGTCTTCGTAACTGAGAAACAAGCATAGGGAAATCCATGACTTTCTAGACTATAGTTTTCAGAACACTTAATGTTCTCAGCAACGTTGAGCAAATCGCACAAAGGCTTTCCACATGTTACTGGTCCTTGCTCCCAAAGCCTCTTCCCCTGTCACTGTATAGGTTTTAACAAACATGTAATGACACACATCCACCTTTTAATGTCATGTCTAAGTCTTCATTTCAGTGCTCCCCAATTCTTCCCTATTTCTGCCTGTTCATCCTTCCCTCATAACCACTGATCTTTTTACAGTTTCCATAGTTTTGTTTTTTCTGAAAATATAGTAGAGTGTGAATCATACAGTTTGTAGCTTTTTCGGATTGACTTCTTTTACTTTTGCAATCCATTTAAGCTTCCTCATACTACTTTATGAGGAGCCTTTATACTACTTTATGAATCCTTATACTATTGCGGTGTGTTTTGTTTGTTTGTTTTTGAGACAATATCTCACTATGTAGTCCAGGCTGGCCTTGAACTCACTATGTGTTCTAGGCTGCCTCTGAACTTACAGTGATCCTCCTGCTTCAGCTTCTGAGTTATGGGATTACAGGCATGTACCACCACACCTGATGCTAGTACTTGAGGCAGATCTGTGTCAGCTTCCCATGTGCTGGGATTACAGGTGTGTACTACCATGCCCAGCTTTCTACTATATTGATTCAGTTTTTATTGTGATTAGTTTTGCCAGTTCTGATGACAGTACTATTTTTTAAACTCTTGATACAATTAGATAAATAAAAGTTATTTTTCTTTCTGATATGTTATTGCCGTTTTGTGATTGGACCTAAACAGTAGAAGGTTGCTGTTTCTGTCTGATAAAATCAATAAGAAATAGTTTTAAAGAGTAAATATTATATGGTGAGATCAGCTCTAGTTTAAAAATTCTGAAAATTCCTTGGAGCCGTATTCAGTCATATTTTGCTTTTGAGGATAATTTGGGGACTGCCGATCTTGTATAAATAGTCATTTCTCTCTGGCTTATTGGCAGACTATTGGATTAATTTTAATTTTTGCAGCGTACTTTACAGTTCCAACTGGTCCACCTTTATATTTTTGTAATCATTAACTTATTAGATCCTTTTAAGAGCTTCACAAGTTAGTTTTCACATACTTATGAATATGCATGAATGCTTATTTATCCTGTGTGTCTCTCTAATACTAATCTTTGTTTCTTGTTTGTAGCAAATACAGATGTTTTTAGAAGTGAAAAATATGTTGTTGCTTATTATATCTAGAGTAAGCAGGATAGTACATTGAACTGGCCACAAAATAAATATGAAAATAATATGAATAAATGGGGCATAGTTATAGGGTTTTTAAGTAGCCAATGTTTATGTATGTAGACTGCATACCAGAGCTCACTACTTGCTCAAGATCACAGAGTAATAAATGTGGGAATGGTAATTAAACCTAGCTTAGTCTTATTATGTAGCTTAGATATACAGAAAGAGAAAAATAATTGTATATAGAACCATCTAATAATGTTGTTTCATCGAGTGTAGTGAATGCTGAAACAGTAGTATTGGAGACATTTCAAAGGATTATTATTATTATTATTTTTGTCTTTTTCCTTTTTATCGGTACCAAGGATCGAACTCACGACTGCCCGCTTGCCAGGCAGGCGCTTATGCCGCTGAGCTAAACCCCCTGCCCCTCAAAGGATTATTTGAAAAGGATTCTTTGGATAATGGGAACAGGAGTCTAAGACATACGCATTTTTGAGAATCTCTTTTATCTTGGTTTATGTGTGCTTTCTGTTTGATTTGAGGTTTAGCATCTCATTTCCCACTCCCATTTTGAATTTCTTGTGAATTAGTAAAAAATCTGAACTCTTTAGGTGACTGGCACATGAACAGGGCTTGAGAGATTGCTTTGCATGAAGTGTTGTTTGGTATTACACTTTTTCTGAGTTTACGTCTCCAATTTTAATGACCTTAAAAAGAATAGAGTTGAATGGACAGTTGTGTAGTAATAAGAACTGACCAGAAGAGAGAGATGCATTAAAATCTTGGCAGTAGGAATGTAGGCATACTTCATTAGAATCATTAGCCAGTCTTAATTTTGCTGTTTGGTGGGGAGGGCTTTAGTTCTCACCAAGGTTGTATAAAATGTGTATATTGTAAAGATTTTTAAGCTAGCAAGTTAATATCCTGTGTGTATATTTGGGGAGTGAGGGGGGGAATATCTGTTAACTTGATAGAATGTATAAATGAAGGTTCATTTCTGTGTTCAGTCTTACCTCAAAAGGAAACATACAAGAGTTATGTCTTTCATAAATATTCAGTAATATTTAGTAAAAGTCTCTGGGATCAGAAAAGTATTTAATATCTAAGTAAGATGAATGTGACTTTCAATTTAATTTTAGGGGAAATACTGATGAAATTGGGAAGATTAAAAGAAGCCAGTGAAGTATTCAAAAACTTGATCGATCAGAATGCAGAAAATTGGTATTATTTTGAGGCTTGGAAGAAGCTCTACAACTTAGTAGGTAATGATTTTCTCTCTACCTTGACTGATGTTTGAAGTATAGCGTAAACTTGTAATAGTACTTGAGAACAAATAATTTTTATCATTAGCACTTGTTTTTTCATTTAGTAAAATTATAGATTAAATGTGAAAGTTAATTCAAGTATTTACATTTACATGAGAATGCTCAGGTGTAATTTTAAATTCTTTGGCCCACTAAAGCCTTACTAACTAACAGTAACTACAGAGATGTTGAACAAAATGAGCATTCATTTTCTAGGAAATGTCATAATTACTTAATATTTTTAAGTCATTAGAGTTCTGTTACTGTTTACCTTTAAATATAAGAATTGACACACTTGGGAGCTGATGCAGGAGAACAGCTCTAAGTTTGAGGCCAGTCTGGACTACATAGTGAGTTCAAGCCCAGCCGGAATTAAGCAAGAGCCTGCCTGCCTCCCCAAGACCGCCTTCCCCCTGAATATAAGAATTGAGGCAAAGAAATCCAGCTGAAGGTAGATAACATATAGCATTAACAGGAAAATAACTCTTTTAATTTCAAATTAGGTTCATTTATAAAGAACAAATTATTATTAATCTTTTGAAATTATGTAACCCTGACTTCGTATATCTAGTGTTACTCCAAATTTTCCCTGATAAGTTTCAGAATTGTTGTTTAGAATAACTGATATCCCTGAAATCATATTTACATTTTGATAAATATACCTGAGATAATTATGAATCGACAGTATTTCCTTATGTGGTTTTTAGATTAGAATGATTAGAAAATATTGGTTATATAAGTAATCTGAATAAAAACAGGACAAAAAACATATTGCCAAAATATTGGAAAAGGGCTAGAGATATAGCTCAGGGGCACAGCGCCTGCCTGGCAAGCGCAAGGTCCTAAGGGATTCCCAGTACCAAAAGACAAAAACAAAAACAAAAACAAAACTGTAAAAGTGAAATAACTATGGTTTTGCTTTATACTACTGTGTTACCTAGTTACTGACCTTGCAATGAACAATAAAAGTTTTTAAATGTTTTAATGAGGTAAATGTAATGTTTCGTGTGTCACGATCTTTAGTTCCTATAAACTGTATTGACCACAAAGCTTTAAGCTTTTTAAGTGTCTTAGATCTTTTCTGCCCCATGCTAACTTCTGGGACTTCAACTTGTCACTCAAGGAGGCACTGAAAAGATCTATCATTCTGTTTTAATTCATCTACATTGATAAGAATTGTTATATCTGGAATAGCAAAGAAACCTTTTTAAAATATAGCTTGTTCTCTATGATTAGGAATAAGTATGAGAACTCCTTGTTAAATATACCCATAGCCTTTATTTTAAAATTTATACAAGGTTCTTTCATATTTTATGACCTGTCCAAATCATTAACGGAATGTGAAAAAATATTTTTCAGATATCTTAGGTTTAAGAATTCAGCCACACTGGAGCTCCAAAACATTACTGGGGGAAGAAATGAGTCTACAGAAAGCCATTATCTCTGCCAAAAGCTCAGTGTTTTAATAATGATACAAAACACTACATTTGCTCTGAAGATACATTGTTTGCTAGCACCCTGGGTCACTGTTATGTTTCTATTCTGAGTTACAATACACTTAAAACTTTCTAGTTTAAAAACAGATATGTTTGCTATTGTAAATTCTTGTTGCTAATATAAAATAATCTACCTTTGTATATTATGTGGAACCTTATTTACAATAATGATTTACAATCAGATCCTATTGTAGATAGTAACATTGCAGAGTAACCTATAGTTTACATGTGTTAGTATGAAACTAGGTGATTCTTGGGAGGGAAGATACTTCTGATAGAAGCATGTGCCATCTCATTTGAGAGAAATAATTGACACTATAAAGAGTCTGAGTTAGTAGTATTCTTTACAATGGAGGTTCATTGAAGGTTTTGTTTTATTTTATTTTGTTTTGCTTACTACTGAGGGTTGAACCCAGGGCCTTTGCACTGAGCTATATTCCAGATCCTTCAAAGTTTTTCTATTTATATTATTTTGAGACAGGGTCTTGCTAAGTTGATGGATTGCCTGGGTTGGGCTTGAACTTGGGGTGTTTCTTTCTCAGCCTCCCATTGTGTTGGAATTACAGGTACACACATCCTGCTTCCATCCATTTAAAACTTTTTTGTTTTCTTTTTTTTTTTGAAACAGGGTCTTGTATGTACTGTAGGCTAGCCTTGAATTTACTTATGTAGCCCCTTGGACACATGGCTGTCCTCCTGCCTCAGCCTCCTGAATGCTGGGACTACAAATATGTGCTACCAGGTCTGGCTAAAATTTTTTCACATGTTTTGAGACAGGGTTTCACTAAATAAGAATTTGAACTTAAAAGTCTTCTGCCTCAGCCTCCTGAGTATTGGGGGTTTACATATATTCCACCTCAACTAGCTCATTGAAGATTTTTAAATGTCAAAGCAACCATAGCAATTAATTTCACCTTTTAAACTGTAAGGTGGTTGTAGTTGTTATCCTAAAACTGTTGATTCTGTAACCCTAGTCAATAGGGTTTGTAGACTTTTATGAGGATATCTATAGGCTTTATTGGTTTAGAGTGTTACATGTCATATAAAGTGTATGTTATACAAGGGCTTTTTATTTCTTTTTAATTTTTTTTTACTTTAAAGAGAATAAAACAAAACAGAACAAAGCAGAACAGAGTAAAGCAATGCAAATAACACAGGATTTCTGAAAAAGAGCAGAAAATCAACAGTGGCTACCATAATGTCTCTTTTTTCTTCAAACTAGTTCCCACAGCTTCACACACAATAAGTTAATACACATCAAAACAGTATAAAAGCAATCAGAACACAAAAATGAGAGCTTTCAGGGTTTTCAAGACCAGACACTAGGAAATCAATAATGGCTACCATAATGTCTCTTGTTTTCTTCAGAATAGCTGTTCCTGTCCTTCATACATATTGAAATCAAATAATTGAAAAGACTAAAACCAATCAAAACCAAGAATAAAAGCATTATTGGCTTTCAAATCAAAATGACATCAGTGGTTACCATGGTGTCTCGTTTTCCAAGGATTTTTTATTTCATGATTAATCGCTGAGAGTATAAGAATTATAGCATATCTTTATGTTACACGTATGTTTTATAATTTGAATTGGGTATACAATATATTGTGATGAAGTATTAAAATTCTCCAGGGACTGGGTTTAAAATGATAATTTACTGCTTATAATATTTTTCTACCAAAATTGAGAGCAGCTTTAATATCGGTAATGCAACTTTCATTTGTAACATAATTTAAAAGTTTATTAGTGTCTTATTATGGATAAATGTGGACCTATGCATCTTACACATGTTTACCGATCATAGGCACGTTAGCAGAGAGGCTTCAGATTTCTGAAGAAATTAGTGAGCAGCACCCCAGAGCAACTTCACCTACAAGATTACCTCTGAATCTTGCCCCAGGTATTATTAGATTTCTTTTGTACAACAATAATAATCATTGGTTGAATTATTCTGTGCTGTTCATATGTTAAAAACTTGTTTCAGGTATAGAGTTTATGTCCCAGTCCTTTAATGGAGGTGATCAGCTACAACTTTATGTATGTGCTAATAAGAATATTATACTTCAGTGTATAACTAAAGGTTGGTTTTAAGGATCTGAAGTTACATGTGTAAAACCTTTTTTATTTTTTGATACTAGGTACTAAACCCAGGACCTTCACACAGAGCTATTTCCCACTTACTTGTTTTGTTTTGAGACAAGGTCTCATTACATTACTCAGGCAAGGCTTGAATTTGTCACCCTCCTGCCCCAGCCTCCCGGAATGTTGAGGTCTTTTTAAAATTTTTATTTTTACTTTTATGTTTATGGTTATTTTTGGTACCAGGGGTCAAACTCACGATCTTGCACTTGCCAGGCAGATGCTTTGCCACTGAGCTATATCCTTGACCCAAATGTGAGTTTTAAAAAATACATGTTTAAAAGATAAATGAAATTCCCTGCAATTGATGACAAAAACATATATGAGGTATTATAATTTCAAAGTATGTATTCAGAAAAGGAGATGTGTTTAAGATAAGGATACCATTCCTTAGAAGATTTTTCTCTTTAGTTAGTAAATTTAATCTTCTGCTTGTGATACCATTGCTTTTGTGTCTAGAATGCTATTTTATATCCTTAAAAATAAAGAACTTAAGGGCCAAAGATATAGCTCAGTAGCACAGCGCCGGATGGACAAGCACAGGGTCATGAGTTCAATTGCCAGTACCTAAAAAAAAAATTCTGTTTGTACTTTGGTGTGTATTTTGTGACTTGTTTCTATTGTTTAGAAATATATTCATGACCTTGAACCAAGTTGTTGAATGTAGCTGAACTTGCATTTACTTTTTTTTGGTGCCGAGCATCAGAATCATGACCTTACCTTTGCCAAGCAGGCACTTAACAGCCACTGAGCTAAACCCCTGGCCTGTGTTTACTTTTGAACTGAGATATTCATGATTTTGTTTTTAAAAAATTGTGCTTTTGTTAGTATTTATTTTTAGTTGTAAGTGCCTCCGATTATGAAGTATTTATTGAGACTTACTGTGGCATTTCTTTTGGTACTAGTGAGACTCTAGAAAACTAGTATAATTCAACGTCTATTCTCAGACTAGGCATGGTGGTGTCTTCCTGTAATCCCAGGACTGAGGAAGGGCGAGATGGGAGGACTGCACTCCATCTCTCCAGCAGCTGGCACTGCTGGGGCTGGGGGTGCCTGCATGAGGTTTTAGGCTTTTTATGTAGCATAAGTAATGCCGACAGACTTTCAGGATTGACAGGCTTTTGGATGGAGGATAATTGTTTCTGAGGGACCTTTAGCTTTCTTTGTAAAATCATTCTCAGAATTATTATTGTATTTTCACTAATTTAATTATTATAGAAAGATTTTCATGTAAAATGCTATTTTTTTTTTTTTTTTTTTTGGAGACAGGATCTTGCTGTATAATTTAGACTGGCTTTGAGTGCACTATGTTCCCTAAGCTGGCCTTGAACCTGCAGTAATCCTCTTCATGCTGGGATTACAGTTATGCACCACTATGCCTGGAAAAATGTTATAGTTTAATAATCTTCTCTATTATAGTAATGTTATTCTCCTTACTTTTAATCTACTAGATGTATACTTAATTGCATGTACTACAGTATCAAAAGAAATGTCAGTTTACAAAAGGAAAAATATTATAAAGGTTGTTTATTTTTTAATGGATATGCTTTTCTAGTAGGATTTAATTTTGGGAAGGCGTCTTTTTGAGACAGGGTCTCTATGCAATTCAGGCTGGCCTTGAGCTCACTTTGTAGTCCAGGCTGGTTTTAAACTCATAACGATCCTGCCTCAGCCTTCCAAGTGCTGGGATTACAGGCGTGAGCCACCATGCCTTGCTTTTAAATTTGATATTTTGCTAGAAAAAAAATTTTTTTTTTGAGACAGGGTCTCTCTATGCAGTTTACGCTGGCCTTGAGCTCACTTTGAAAGCCCAGGTTGATCTCTAACTCACAACAATCCTCCTGCCTCAACCTCCTGAGTGCTGGGATTACAGATGTGAGTCACCACACCTGGCTCTAGACATCTGTATTTAGACATCTATTTTACACATCTCTATTTCATGATTCCTGTTTTTTATAGCTATACCTATTTTTTATAGTATGATTATGGATTTTGCCATTTGTGATATATGTGCAGTTATAGTAACATTAAATACTATTTTTTAACAGAGTACAAATGACTAGTTTTAACAGTTAGGCTACATTTTAATAAATATAGGTTTAGCTAACCCTTGAATACTTTCTTTAAAATTGGTACTGAAATCTCGATCATAAATTGGAAAGATAATTAAAAGTTAATAGCAATATTTATAGCTTTATTTCCAAGCATTGATTCTAATTTATTAATGTCTAAATATCTGGCATTTTCTTTTTTAAATTTTTTTGGTACTGTGGATCAAACTCATGACCTTGCACCTAACAGGCAAGCGCTTGACCCCCTGAGCTAAATCCCTGGCCCAAAAAATCTCTTATTTTCTATAGTCACATTTTTTCTTTATGAGACAAGGTCTCACTGTGTACTGCAGGCTGGCCTTGAACTCACAGCAGTCTTCCTGTCTCAGCCTCTGGAATGCTGGAATTAGATGTATCTACCACGCCTAGCCACAGTCAGATTTTGCAAGTTACTACTGAATAAAGAAAAAAATTTAGTTCAACCTTTAGTTAAATCACTTTGCTTAGCTTTGACTCATAATTTTTAATTGTGAATAATAAAAGCAAGCTCAGTTATTAGTATAGCTGATCAGCAGGCAAATAAAATTTGGGGGGACAGATTCAAACCATATCAGTACCATGGTGGATGGTGAGTCAACAGTAATCATTTCATGTTTCACTGTTACATACCGCTCGGGGAAATTTTGGTGTGAATTCCCTTGGAATTCCCTTGGAATTGCATAGTTTGGAAGTCTGACTGTTCACTTACTTTCCTGAGAAGTTACCTGAATCATAAAGTTGGGGTAAGAATATATAAAGGATTGATGTATGCTTTAAATTATTAAGCTTCTAAAGTACTTGATGCAGAATATTCAAGAAATAGTAGTCGTACCTTGCTACTCAGTTGCTTTGACACTTGTTGGATTTAGTATCAAGGTTTATTTTTGTCTTTTTGAGACAGGGTCTTGCTATGCTGTTCAGGTTGACGTTGGGCTCACTTTGTAGCCCAGGCTTGTCTCGAATTTGCGGCAATCCGCCTGCCTCAGCCTCCCAAGTGCCGGGATCACAGGTGTGAGCCACACACCCGGCAAGCATTTTGACATGAAAATTATTTCGCTATACTCACTGGATGATTGATTGCCTTATGACTTGCTGCCATTTTTTAGCCAAAACAATTTGTTTTGTTTTTCAGTACTTGTCACATCTTTCAGCATCAAACATGATGAGTATGCAGGAGCCACTTGCTTTACCACCCTTCACCCACGTATTTCATTTCTTCAGGTAGTTACAGTGACTTTATGGTTATTGTTGAGCAACCTGCCTCTGTAACTAGCTTCTTCGAAACCAAAGTTGTCACTACTTATGCATTTGTCAAGAATTTGGCAGTGTGGTCTTCGTTTCTAAACTATTGTGCTTAGTTTCCTATTTTGGTTAAAAAAGAAAGATAGCTTCAGTGACCTTCTTAGTTACTTTTTTTTATCATTTCTGAGACAAAATATCTGACATCCAAAGTTAAAGGGGGAAAGTTTTATTTAGCTCACAGTTTGTGGAGGTTTCAGTCCATAATTGGCTGGCTCCAAGGCAGGGTGGCCCCTGGCAGAGCAAAGAGTTGAATGAGACAAGGTGAAAACTGCCAAAAGTTTATTTTAAACACAAGGGATAAAGGGGTAAGGGAGAAACAGGCTCTTGACCCAAACAAAAGGAGAAAAGAGAAAAAGAGCAAAAATAACAGTTTACCCTGGTGTAGACGAGGTGAGTCATGATAGTGGGCTCCTCTTGGTGTCTGTGACCTTGTATGTCTCCCACATTCCACATCCTAAGGAGTTCTATACATGGAGGACCTGGGAATTATTTAGCGCTGTCCTGTGATCTTGTAATTAACAAGACCTGCTTATTTTCTGAACAAGCCACCTTTGCCTTGGGCACATCCTATCTCGTACTTAGGGAGATTATCTGTCTTGGTCACCAGGGTTTCCCAGGTTATATTTCAGTGAAGATAAAGCTTATTCAATTCTAATGAAATACAGTTGTTAGAAGAAGGCACTTAAATCAGATGAAGATGATTAGACTTGGGAAATTTTTCAGGTTGTAAAAAATTTGGGGCCATTTTGTTAATAAGCTTTCTCTGGCTGTGACAAATTATCTCAGACACCAACTTGATAGGAGGAAATACTTATGTTAGTCCACAGTTTGACAGGTTTTATTTGGTCCCCGGTTGTTTCAGCCTGTGGCAGGGGGAGACATCCTGGTCAGCAGAGCAGAATGGCTCACACTCAGATGCCCAGGAGGTGAGAAGGGAGAGGGAGAGGCTGGGATCCTGTTCACTGCAGAGACGCTGCCTCCGTGCCCAGCTTCCTTTCTCTAGGCCTCATCCCCTCAGGTTTCCGACACTTCCCAGTGGAGCCATCAGATGAGAATCAAGCCCATGTGAACCTGACCGGGGACATTTAAGATCCAAGCCATGACTTCAGCTGTCCATTTTGAGGTCTTAAAGTTTTTACTTTAATTCCTAAATACCTAACTTACGTGGATTGGTTTTCTTGACTTTAAAATGGCAGAAGCATGATGCTGTTTTTAAGATGAAAAATTTCATATTATAAACTACCTGCTTCAGGTATAAATGATCAGGAAACTTGAATACAATGGATTCTCTTTGTTTTGAATGAAGTTTATTGGTACAATTTAGATATGCTTAATGATCATATTCATCATAGGGAATTTGTACTTGTACATGATAATATTTGATTTCTATTTTTTCCCACAACCCTTTCTCCTCCCTTCAGCCCCTCTTCCTCTCCCTAGTTTCAAAGCTTTGCTTCCATTCTGTCCTTTTTTAAAATCTTTTTTCCCCCTTTCCCTTAAAGTTGA